TGTCTAACTTTTACGTTTCTAACGTTCTTTATGGCTAGTATTCAAGGACCTCTAGTTACTAGATTTACAATATTCTCTAACCTTTAGACTTCTAAGGTTCTCTACGACTAAGTTTTATAGATTGTCTAACTTTTACGTTTCTAACGTTCTTTATGGCTAGTATTCAAGGACCTCTAGTTACTAGATTTACAATATTCTCTAGCCTTTAAACTTCTAAGGTTCTCTACGACTAAGTTTTATAGATTGTCTAACTTTTACGTTTCTAACGTTTTCGTAGAGAACCTTAGAAGTCTAAAGGTTAGAGAATATTGTAAATCTAGTAACTAGAGGTCCTTGAATACTAGCCATAAAGTAGCCATAAAGAACGTTAGAAACGTAAAAGTTAGACAATCTATAAAACTTAGTTACTATATTAGTACTACATGAATTGTTAGAGTTGGGACTATAGAAACAGTGCTACTATATCAGTACTACATGAATTGTTAGAGTTGGGACTATAGAAACAGCTTGTGTGAAAGAAGTTATTACAATGTTAACATCGACCAAGATAAAATATACGTTTTCAGAACTCTCCAATATTATATGTATTAAAAATAACTAAACAGAAACTTGTGTATTTTGATAAATTAAACTTACATGATAGAATTGCATATTAAACTACACTTATACTTTACTTCTGAATCTTAATGTGCCTTTGGTGGAACTTAATTCCTCTATGACTTTTTTTACGATGTATTAAATATGGGTTTTTCTTTATAATCACCGTGTACTTCATATGACGAGGCACTAAAAAACGGTAACCCACGCCTTCTTCAGTATAAAATAACTTTTCTTACTCTGTACTTCACAAGTGGGACATCTCCAGCCAAATTAATTAGCTTATTGTAAGATACATATCTTTAGACATTCACGATGTGGTAAACTCCGAACTAGCCCGAGGGAGTGACAAGGAATGGTCACGTGGAAGCTATTAGTTCTCTACCACAATAATATCTATCTATACAAGAGTGAAAATGTCCTTACTGTCGGAAATACGTGCTAATTTGCACGCAAGTTTACTTTCAAAACTTTTATCAAGCTTAATACAAATATCATCAACTGAGTGACACACAGATCACTCGAATAATAAGTATAGTCGTGTAAACTTATTGGATGATAAAATCCTACATTGTTACTGTTACTAGAACCTTAACACTTCACAACTAATTTTGTAATTAATAAAATGCTATTTAAAATTAAATCGATGCTGCCCTCGTAGGATAAGAGATTGAGTATATTAGCAAGTCAAACATGCTATAAAAAAGCACACCGAGACTACAACACAACAATTTTCTTGGAATGATGTGTTCTTTTGGCTGTTCTTCTTTTTTGATGTGAAGTTCCCAGATAAAATATCAAGTAAATAATGAAGTAGTTTTTTTCGTTTACTCTTCCATATCAAGACTTATAGCCAGTTAATCGGGATGGCGATAAGGCGAAACAACCGTTTATTCCCTAATATTCGTTTTCACATCGCTCGAGCCACAGAACGACCACTGCTGGCATCTGGGATGAAAAAGGCGTGGTTTATAAACGTCAGTTTTGGTTAATCCAATCACGACAAAAACCTTTGACGTTACACGCCCATCAATTTATTGGTGAATGAGGCGCTTGTCTATTCAGGTAGAAAACGTTGAACTAGTGAGTAAGATAAAGTCGTTTACTACAGTTTTCTACAGCTAACAAAATAAAGTTCTTCCGTCTGTTTGCCAAAGAATGTTTCATTGTTATCTAGAGCAAGTCCTTCCTCTTGTTAAAAGATGTATCTGAAACCGACGTAATTATTAACATTAGCACTTGTGGTAGAGTTCTCTACTTGAAACAATCTTTCTCTGCAATGGCTAGCTCAGAGACCCCTACGGGAAGTCTCTCTAAACTATATAGCATGAAACCAGATTATACTTGTACAAAATCCAAAAACCGGGGGTCTTCTAGTGGAGTTATATCATTTTCCGTGGCTTCTTTATTGGCAGACCGTTCTCCAGCTTCGACTCCCGAACTCTCTCTTTCTCCGACTGTTGGGAGTCCGGTTTCGACTCACTCAGAGCTTACGAGCGGCCGAGATTCTGCTTCCTCGCCAACAGTTAGATTTAACTTCACGAAAAGATTTACAGTTGAAGGTTTACTTGACAGGTCAGTACGAAGGTTTCGGACAGTACCGCCCAGTGATTCTGTCTCTGATACTTCCGTGTGTCACCCTGTAGCCTTGGATTCTCCTCTGACCACGACCTTTCCGTGGATACATGCTTCTCGGACATTTTCTTCCTGCTCAAGTGAGTTTTCTCGGTACACGATTTGAACGTAGAATCTTCAAAGCCCTATATACGCGACTCTACTATTAAGTGTTCTGAAAAACTTAGTCAGGGAAAATTACCAAAACGTAACAATTAGAAAATATTTTTGAATTCAGTAATTAGTATATAGGGGTTCTCAAACCCTAGCTATAAGGAATCCTAAAAATTAGAAAATTCCAGAGACCTATCTACTCAATTTTTTAAATCGTAGTCATATGTCCTTAAAGCTCAACCCTAGAGACTTTAGAAATATAAAAAGTAGAGAATTTTAGAAATTAGAACCCTTAAGTTTTAGCCTTGAAGATATCTAGGAAATTGTATAGACATAACGAGCATAGGTATATGTTCTTAAACATTAGCCATAGAAACCCTTAGATATACACAAACTAGAAGACCACAGAAACCCATCAACTGTAGGGCCTTTAATTCATACCTGTGAACATCTTTAAAAAATGTAAGAAATTTGAAAATATCTAGTTACAAGTCCGTAATTCTTACCGCTAGTTCACCTTCGAAATCTAAAAACATCAAAATCTTAGAAACTTAGCAGCTAGAAGTTCTTAAATCCTAATCCTAGACAATCCTAAATATCTAAAAAAAGCTTATAATCCTAGCATTTATAGGTATTTAACTCCTTTAACACAAGACAACTTAGAAAAATCTCTAAATCAAAAAAACCTTAAGAATTCAGCAAGTATAGATCCTTAAATCCATTAGTACTACATGAATTGTTAGAGTTGGGACTATAGAAACAGTGCTACTATATTAGTACTACATGAATTGTTAGAGTTGGGACTATAGAAACAGTGATAGTAACACTGTTTCTATAGTCCCAATTCTAACAATTCGTGTAGTACTAATATAGTAACACTGTTTCTATAGTCCCAACTCTAACAATTCATGTAGTACTAATATAGTAACACTGTTTCTATAGTCCCAACTCTAACAATTCATGTAGTACTAATGAAGTAGCAAAGCTAGTGAGAAAACAACAAGTTGACTATATATATAACGAACAAGAGAAATTTGACTTAATCATCTTGCTAATAGCTTTGTTTTGCCTAAGGCGGCGTTAACATTGGTTGTTCCGTTTGCATGGTTAATATAAAGCTGGAATGGGGCGTGTTGTGCAGTTACTTAGGGCACAACAGCTGTTGATTGATTTACAGCCCATTAGGCAGTCACGACTTTCACTGGAGTTCCGATATCAATCAACATGTTTGCCACCCCTTTTTAGGAAACTGATTAACATCAGGTCACTCGTGGTTCGAGTATGGGTTACAGCTGAAGTGAAGTACTTTGGGATGGCATTTACATTTTTTTGTTTCACTTATTCACTTAGTTTTGTAAAACTGGGCGATAGAAATGTGATTGTCGAATTACTTCCATGCTGCTACAGAGAAATGTCAAATAAGTAAAAACAATTTCTAAGAAAGTAGTATCTTGATCCAGAGCTATACCCGGAAATATACTGAAATATGTACATCATATAGACATGAAGCTGGTGTAAAAACAATTTCTAAGAAAGTAGTATCTTGATCCAGAGCTATACCCGGAAATATACTGAAATATGTACATCATATAGGCATGAAGCTGGTGTAAAAACAATTTCTAAGAAAGTAGTATCTTGATCCAGAGCTATACCCGGAAATGT